GTTGACTCCTGTAGAGCATACATAATTCTCATGGGCAGATCACAGCAAATATGTACACCCACCTTTTTTTAAGAGTGAAATCTTGACTGTCTTATTGACTCACAAACTCACCATCAATACTGATATTAGCCTCAAAAACTCAAAATCATGCAGCAGAGTCCGAAATTTCCTGACTTCTAGTCCCTATGTGGATCAAGCTATGAAACACTACACTATTCATAATGTGACTTATAAGCATCTTTTTTTAGACGCTCCCTAAACCTCCATGACCTTTCAAAACCTGGCTCCAAATTACCCTGATGACATCATCAGGCTCAACGGTACTCAAAATTACTAATTACTAATAACTAAATACTTCAACTATACTGACCCACTGCAGGTAGTAGGCAGGCATCTGATTATCAAAATATAGAGAACATAATTTAATTCCCAGTTATGGTAATTTATTAAGTCTTTTTTGAATTACACCTCTGTGAGTAACTAAACTTTATGAAAGCTCTTCCTCCTGGTTTTCCCTCCACTACATCACTGCTCTCAGCTCTCCACCCCCCTTATTTTGGAGGGTTTTGTCTGTCCTGAGAAGCTAGAGGCCCCCAGGTCTGCAGGCTTCCTCCATCCTGATCAAAGCCACTTCCCACCACCACCTCCTCCTCCTCTTCTTCCTCCCTCTCAGACAAAATCACTCCCTAACCCACCCACCCTCCCTCCCTCCTCCTCTCTCTCCATTCCCACTCTTTTTCTCCCAAGGAATGAATTGTAAATTCGTCCGAGAATTATGGCGGTGTTGCAGGGTTGAGGAGGTGTTGCTGTGGTTCTCACGTTTTGTTTTCCCTTCTTCTTCTTTTCCAAAGGGCTCCCTCATTCCCCTCCCCTCTCTCTAATGCCCACCCCACCCCTCACACCGCCACCTCCACCACCCGCCACCCTTCTCTTCATCTTAAGAATCGAATGAAACCCATCGAGTGCCGGAGAGCTTTTCAGCATCTCTCCATTTCTTTTTGCCTTTTTTTTTTTTTTTTCTCTCCCAGGTCCAGCTGGTGAGCGCGGTCCTCGGCTTCAGCTTTCGGGGGTCTTTTGCGGCCTTCTCAAGGACCCTGTCTTTCTTTTTTTATCTTTCTTTCCTCCTTCTCCTCTTCTATGGCTCCCCCTCCCACCCTCTTCAGTCCTCCTCCTCGACCTCCACCCCGAAGCGAGGGTCTTGCAGAGGAGTTAAAAATGAGGCTGGGGTACCGTTCCTCCTTTTTTTTTTTCATGCATCCACAGTCTTTTTAAAGGGAGAGTTTTGCAAAGAGGGAAAGCTCGAATAAAGTTTTTTTTTAATACCGTCCATTTTGAGGTTTATCAGAACCTGCACAATAGCCCTCGGCTTGTTAAGTCCTCCCCCCGAAAAACAAGAAAAACTAAAGCAGTGAGTAGCGTGTTGCAGCTTTCCTGGCTAGAAGGGAGTCTATTGTGTTGTAAAAAGGAAAAAAAAAAGCTCACAAAACCTGTGAAACAGAATAAGAAAATGGTGTGAATGAGCAGCTCTCCCACCATTCACTTTCCTCTTCATGCAGGCAAGAAAAAGAAATGTTATTATGTGTCACAACAAGAAAGAAGCAAAGAGAATTCTTGCGCTTTTTGTTTCCACAGAATTTGGATAGAGGAGGAGGAGAGAAAACAAATTAAATGCATTTTCTTTCTCTTGTTCTTTGTGAATTTAATTGTTGCTCCCACCTCTCTCTCTCTCTCTCTCTCTCTCTCTCTCTCTCTCTCTCTCTCTCTCTCTGTCTCTCATCTCTTCAGCTGTTTTGTCTGTTGCTTTCAGACGTCTTCCTTTCCCTTTAACATCTATTTTTCCCCTCTGTCTTTTCAAATCGTCTCTTTCTCCTTTTTTTCTGTCTTTCTGCTCCTTTTTTCAGTTAATGGCTGTATACCTGTGGCTATTAGTTTTGCTCTTCTGGCATTATGAGTTGACATAAGGCCATTACAAGCTCAGTGTGAGTTTTAACTTCATTTGCCTGCCAGGAGATATTCGTTCAAAATTATGTAATATATTTTGTTGACAAATGTATCCCTTTAAAACACCTTCATTTTCCCCTACAAGTACATTAAGAGCATCAAACCTTAGAAGTCCCTCTTTTCATTTGTTATTTCATTACATGAATACTTTTACTTCAGTGTTCTTTTCTTACCTTTCTTTATTTCAATTTTCAAGTTTGCACTTCTGTTTTCCTCATAGAGCCTGACCCAAATGTGTTTTTTGAGGACACTTTGATATGTGGATGTAAAAACAGACTCAATAATAATTTATCAGCTAATGTCCCTTTCCCACACAAAACCTCTATCATCACAAGAAACCCACCTTTCTTGTAATTTAATTTACTGAAAATATTTTATTAACTATAAGAAATGAAAAAAAACTTGATGTTATATGTAAATTTTACTGATAATTGCATGTGTATGAAATGATAACCAGTGTTGGGAGGATTGCTTTTAAAACATATGCAACTACAGACTACTGAAGACATGCTCTAAAATGTAATTTGTAACATATGTAATTAGATTACTCAAACTAACATATTTTAAATACTTTGGATACTTTTAGTCGTTTTTTTGGGGGGGTCTTATATTTCCATACTAAAAACGCATGGCAGTGTACCTGGCTGTGCATTTTTCTAAAAATCTGTTTATTATCTCCTGACATCAAAGAAGTGTCTCTCTCTGTCCACACTGAATCTGTTAAATTCTATTACATCATGTAAACAAATCACAATCAAATGGAGATGTAACCACTTGAAAGATGAGCAAGTACTTCCCATCCTTCTACGTTTGTACCCTTTACACTGAAAACACCTTACACATTCTGATATTTACTGGAAATGACATACAATATAGCCAACAGGAAGTAGGCTGTTTTTAGCAATGGTGATTTACCAGAAACTTTAAGCTCCCTGGAGAATTTCCTCCAGCCAGATGCTGCCTTACTTGGGTTTTTGCAGTTAAGTAAGGAGATATCGTATTAGTAATTTTGTCACTTCAACCTCACGAATCAGCCTGTCATTGTCCAATGTCAAGCTTTCAAAGCAACCGACAGGAATAAATATCAACAGGGCATCCTACAAAAGTTCAGCTAAAAACAGCAGCACTGCGTCGATCACGGTTAGTAAGGACATTTCCGGAGAAAACAATGCAATGAAACTGAGGCTCGCTCATGTTGCATTTAGTTAGGACACAGTGTTAGAGCACAAGAACAAATAAAGTAAAACCTTCAAGTAATCTATTTTTAAAGACAGCAACTGTTTTCGGAAGACCACCAATTCAAACTGTAACAGACTGGTTTCTCATATTTTGTATTTTAAATATGCAACTAAGTTACTTGTATTCTGTTAGTCCCCAACCCTGATTATAACTGAAAACACAAATACAGCAAAAATATGTTTGCCTGTAAGAAGGTCCAGAGGCTGACTGTCAGTGCATCTGTCACATTGATGAATAAATATTATCAGCCAAATATATAGAGAAACTATTTGGTTAATGACATGACCCTAAACCAGTAGACTAGAGACTTGAGACTTGGATTAGAGTCAGGCCTGAGACTTGACTTGGACTTTGCTGCGGTGTAACTTGATATCTTAGAGACTGGAACTTGGCACAAGACTTAAAAACCAAAATCAAGTGTCAGGTTTGGTAAAATCTTGAAGGTTATGATGCAGAACAGCCACCGCTCCACCCGGCTTGGTCTCGGCAAGGTGTTGAAAACATCAGTAAGTCCAAACAGGTAGAAAAAGATTTTTGCAAACTTACATCTACGTAGTGTTTTACTTTATTGTTGAGCTTTAGTACCCTGGAAATCCAGAGTTCTCGGGAGAGCATAATTTGAATTTGCTCAGGGAGTCACTCTGGCAATCAGTAATGATGCTCATTACCTATGCCCATGAAACCGAGCTGCACCAATCACATCGCTGTATCTGATATAGGCAGACCAGAGGCGAGCTAAACAGATGACGACAGCGCTGCGATTGCTTATTTGCCTTTACCCACTTTGTCTTTGTATCCACGTAACTGGTTATTATTTATCACTAATTTCATTGTGACCAGTAGTCAACCCTACAATATTATCGCAATATCAGTATCGAGGTATTTAGTCAACACTATTTTGATATTTGATTTCCTCTATATCACCCAGCCATATAAGACAATGTCAAACAGACTGTGCATATGACCCTGAATATTTATTTGGTCTTTAGATTTAAGGTACTTCGTTTTAATTATGTAGACAACTCTATTAACTTAGATTTGAAAGGAGACTCCACTTGAAAAGATATTTCACTTAACTGAGTGTAGTTTAAAAATCAGTCACGTCTCTCAAAGTATTATAATCTGTCATTACAATGTCTGATGATCTGACCAGTGTTTGGTCAGAGGTCATTCAGCCAACTGCTGGCAGCCACGCTGTCATCAGCTGTGGGGCACCGTGCCAGGCTGGCACGCTGACAAGCTGACAAGCTGACTGGCAAGTAAACTGGGACCAACACACACAAACATGCACACACACACAGGCATGTCAGATTTTGGCAGGGGCTGACAGAGCTCTGGTGGGCAACCTTCATGAGCTCAAAGGCTACAGGACGACTATCAAAGAGCAACGAGGGGCTTTAAGATCGGCTCAGTTTCTTTTTAAAAATGCCACAGACATGTGGGGCTGTGATTCCCCTCACACAGCCCTCTCCAACAGTTTCTTTTCCCTCTTTATCTTTTTTCATCCCGACAACAAAACACCACCACCTAGCTGTTTGTGGAGTCCGTGTGTGTGCGTGTGTGTGTGTGTGTGTTTGTTTGTGCAAAGAGGATGAATGTAATCGCCTTTTGCTGTTCTAAAGGGAGTGGGTATAAAACACCAGATTGACAGATGTTAGCTGGATTATCTCGCTGGCGCTTTGAACACAATCCAACACCATTTTCTACGTGTGTGTTTTTGTGTGTGTGTGTGTTTGTGTTTGTGCGCGTCTGTGTGACAGGTGCCAAGGAGATTGATATTGCAGCGACTCTGGAGCACCTGCGGGACCAGAGGCCGGGAATGGTTCAGACCAAGGTAACACACACACACACACACACACACACACACACACACACACACACACACCTCAGTCTGTTTGTTGATGCGGAAAACTTGTGTTTTGTGGCAGGTAGGCTGTAGATGATACACTGCAAAAACAAAAACCTATTTTAACGATCTAACATTTACATTTTAAAGACCCCACTGGGAGTGATTCATTAATTTACACACAATGGGTAAGAGATTTTCACATATCATTTACCACAGAGCAAAAGGTGCTGGTAACTACAAGATGAATGGATTGTGTAGTCAGAAGAATAAGTCAGAAATATTTGTGGTTGCGCGATCTCTGTCGCTGACATGACATTTCACTCAGTGCCTCATGAAACATAAAACAAGCAGTTAAACAAAGTAGATTAAGCATGATAACTAGAGACCATCTTGCAATATGATCACATCAGCTGCTATACAGCGACTTGTGACTTGTGAATACACACACAGACTCACAAGGTGAAAACACTACTAACCTCACTGTGGCAGCTGGTAATAAGTGAGCTTTAGAGATGTTGGTGTGCATATTTTTTAACTTTGAGGAGAGGGTTCATCCCAGTATCCCTCCTCGACTCCTCTATCCTCAATCACTTGTCCCTGAAATCAGTCGTGACTCGCCATCATGTAGGAGGTCCCAATTATTTAAATGCACACCACACACAACACGCCCCCCTGATTGGATATCAGTTATTGATTGGACAGCGCAGCGCTGCAGTTGATTGGACTGATCTAATACATTACAATATCACTGGAGTTTCATACCAGAATGAAGACAGATAAGAGATTAAACTCAAGTGTATCACTCCCAAGTTTTATATTTTATTTGTTTTCTAATTCACCATCTAGCCTAGTTAAAGACTTTTCTCTTCACGGTCTGTTATTTCCTTCATCAACTTTTATTGTCAATACAGTTAAATGCAGAGAGAGCCTGTCTGTCAGCAAGAAGCACTTTTATATCAGTGATTGTCATTTCCATTCAGTCACATGTGAGGCTGATCATTCCTCAGCATTGGGTTGATGAGTTACAGAATTTCAGTTTTCCCTGGAATATTCGCTCTAATAAATCATTTCCAGTGTTCAAAAGACACCATAGTCATATTTTTGATTATTAAATAATGAATTCACAATCTGAATATCAATACATTTATTTATACATTATGTGTGTGCAGACACAAACTCCATTAAAAGTTTCTAGAGCTGTTAATGGAGCCTATAAAGCCTCCTAATAGCTGATCCACCTGTGATCAGCTGCTGCCATCATCGGAAATGGGCATCGCTTCATGTGATGCTTCAGGGGACGTTTCATTTCTCTAAAGGCATATTTCCTCATTTCCTCTATCCTCGCATCCCTTCCCTGTGTCTTACGAGGGCGGAGTGAAGACGCAAGGTAGAGACACAAGTGAGGCAAACGTGGATGCAAGATCAGGTCTTGAGGTGAACCCAGAGCTAACCCTGACTAGCTGATGCCACTGCTTCCAGTGTTTATGCTAAGCTAAGAAGAAATTTGGGAAGAAATTCTTTGTAAAATAGGTCAGTGTGACTCTATTTACTCATTAGATGTGGGTATTCTCTGGCCACAGTTTTATAAAAGTTAAGCTATTCCCGACTTTTAGTTTGGCTGCACTTTGCCACAGAATCACACGGCCCCAGCTCGGAGCAGCAGCTGCAACTTTCCCCCGCCATTGCACGGCAGCTCGTCACAGGCCGCACTTTACATCTCCTTGATGTGTTTTCATGAGTTGTATCGATCTTCTCATTTAACTCTCATTAAGTGTGACATCATCGTGTTAGGAACAATAAGTACAGCGCTTCTCTCATACACTGTTTACTGATCAATACTTTTTTATTACCCATGTTCACCTGTGACATGACATCATTTTTGCTGTTACAAGTGGGCCAGATTTACTGCACTAAAGGGTAGTGGCTGTACCTTACAGTGGTGTATTGTAGCAAATGCAGTGTAATCTGACACACGTTCATTTAGAGCAGCATACACATTTCTGTCTGAGCTAAAGATATTTCTGCACCGTCAAGAGTTTGGAAAGAAAGTTAGTTTGAGGTATCATCTCCACAAAGCTTCAAATGCCATCTTGTCATTCTTGAATCTGATATTTAGTCATTGACAGCTGCTGGGGTCCAACCTGCGACCTCCACCTCCCAGTGCGGCCTCTCTAACAATGAATCACACCCCTATTAAAACTTCATTTTATCTGAAAGTCTAGCTTTGACTGGTACTCTTCGTGCCCCGTCGTGAGATAGGTTGGATTTACGATTTTTTTTTAGGACTCATTCCTCCACATCAGGCAAGATCAATCGATTTCTGAAAAGTAATTGAACAGGGATTATAGTCAGGTCTGCGCAGATCACAGAGGAATATGTATAGAATTCAAATGGGTGGTGATAATCTGTGCTAAAACCTGCTCCCAGGGTAGCACTATCAGAAGTTCTGAGGCAGCCGTCTTAGTTTTATGAACTGAATAAAAATGAATAAGTACTTGAAATGGAAATAGAGTTCCATGGAGTTTTTTCCTCATATCATTTTCTAACTGTTTGAAAAGTGAATAATAGAGGTCACAAAAGTTAAACACAAATTTTAGCTAATTTTAAACATTTAAAGTTTTAATTCCTTTGTTGGTTTGATACTCCCCAATATGGACCTTTTAAAGGTGACCTGTGATGTATAATTTATTCCACAGACACTGTAAATCACACCTCTGCACAGCCTCAGAGCTTTACCTAAAACAGCCAGAGTCATTCCTCGTCACACTGTACGCAGGGTGACGCCAGGCCAGCTCTGGAAACTTCAATTACCAGCTGATCTGTGAACATAATTAGAAAGGAAAGCCAGGATGTGTGTAAAACATTGCTGGTATCGATCCAGGCTTTATTAAACCATGTATCCTGAGCAAGCGGCTGTCACGGCGCTCTGGCTGAGTTCCTCACACATTGATTCCCCTCATGGTCAGGAGTCCCAGCCTCAGCACTCGGATTTCATTTCAGATTTCGATGAGGGAAGATGTTGTTTGGGCCGTTTATCTCCCTCCTTCTGTGATGATACAGTAAACTAAACTTGAAGCAAGTGTACGTCCTCTAATTATGATATATATCAAAATAAAGTGGCAAGTTGATACGTTTGCCACGAGGGCATTTTAATGCAGTAATTACTTAAAATTACATTAATGACAGATAATTCTGTAGCAGCACCTTTACCAAAGAAACACCGTTCATTGCTGCCTGATCTTTTTTTTCCACCATAAACTGAAATATACTAGACATTGAATTATTTTTAAACATGCAGAGGAGGATTGGATAGTTTCTTTTCCAGCCCAGGATAGTGTCTGCAGCTTTAATCTCAGGTAGCAACGATAACCACCAATTGAAGGATTAGGAAAGCGAGTATCTTGTGGAACCTGTTTTAGAAATAAATGGCTGAGAGGTGCAGGCAGATTAATGTTTTTGCACTGAGATTTTTTTGCAACTCAGAGCATGGAACATGGACAGCTAATATGACACTGTTCAAAGAGATCTTTAGGCCCTGCTTGCACCTGGTCCATCATGAGTGATTGGATCACAAGTGGACAGCCCTAAATACAGGTGTGAGGGCAGCGAATGCGAGATCAACAAGATCTGATCGCTCAGACCATATTTGGAAGTGGTCTTGGCCTCATATGGCCACATTCTTGGAGCAGCAGGTGCTACACACCTTCTCACACTGAGTCGCACGTCTAAAAATAAATCTGACCTCATGTTGTGTCAATCACTTTTGCATGCTGAGATCGAAACTTTCGGCCTTCATTGAAATTTTCAGAACAGGTTTGATTGTCTATGTTTTTCGCATCCGTCAGATAGGTAACTCCAGTAGAGACAGGCAAAGAAGGAAATGTTTCTTTTCATTTTGTCACGTATTGTGAATTTTCACACAAATACAATAATAAAACACATCGGAATCAGTCTGCAAGGTTTCTGTGTGTGTGACCGATGGATTAAGAAAAAAAAAAACGCATTTAAAAAAAAAAAAAACGACTTAGTGCAGTAAGGCCTTGACATGTCCTGGGCCGGATTGATGGTCCGCCTATTCAGCTCGCGTCCTTGCATAGGCATAAGTACAAACTCATTTGTGTGCCAACAGTGTTATTTTAAAGTGCCAAAGAACAACAAAAAAGGTCATAAAAGAAGTTTTTTCATGCCAAGGTCTTTGAAAACTACTTCTTCCAGTTAAAAAGAAGAATGCATTTGGCCTATGCAAACAGAAATGATGTATGTGTTTATTTGCATATAGAGAGGGGTAGCGAGATCTAATCACAAAATGGTCACTTGAGACTCATATGTAGACGCACTCTAATGCCAGGTGTGAACAGACTTAGAGATGTCCACTTGTTATCGGATCACCTGAGACAAATGTTAATACCAGGTGTAAACAGGGCCTCAATTGAGCTGAAACTATAAAAGTGTGGGGAGCTACAGTAGGATTTTGTAGGACTTCGTTACCCAGCCAAAACTTCTTGCAGGTGCACCAGGTTCATCATCTTGCCGAAGGGCTCTTTGGCAGCATTTATCACTGATATCAAATTTGTGACGAATGCACTCTGCTTTCCAGAGTTTTGTTCCCACCTGTATCAGTACATTTCACCTTCTTATTCTCTCTTTTTTCCCTTTCTTTTCTTCCTGCAGGATCAATTTGAGTTTGCGTTGACGGCCGTTGCAGAGGAGGTGAACGCCATTCTGAAAGCTCTTCCACAGTAGAAAGGAGCGCCTCCTTCTGATGAACCTCCTTCCTTATCTTCACCTCCTCTCTTGTCTCATTGAGAGGACGGTCCCTATTATTACATCCTTATTTGTCCTCCTCCTGTCTCCTCAGTTTGCTTCCTTGTTCCAATCTCCTTCTTTCATTCTCCCCCTCTGACTGTTTTGTTTTATGCTTTCTCGTTTCATTTCTTCTTTTCCCAAATTATCATCCTTGTTTTTCCGGTGTCCTTTTCTTTCGTCTGTCCAGTTCATACATGTCATTTCCTAAATGTCCTTCTTTCCATTCTCTTTATTGTCATGTCCTTTCTGTCTTCAGAAAAAAAAAGCAGATGTCCCTTCCTTCCCTCATTGTGTCCATTCTCCTCTTGTGTCCTTTCCTTAAACATCCTCTTCTTTCCACTAATGCCCCCTCCCTTCCTTTCCTCCCATCTCCTCCTCTCCTTGCATCTTAGTAAACATTGTGCCAGGAAAACGTTGAACCAGTCCTGTACATAGATAGACCTTCCTTCTATTGTAATGATCCATGCAGCCTGTTTTCCAAAGTGTCATTTACACACATTTTCATAGATTGATAAAAAAAAAAATGCTTCTCTATGTTCTGTTAAGAGTATATTTATTATCATTTCTGTTTGGATGTTATGAGTTTGTGTGGGATGTTGATCATCATGTCTGTATCACAAAATTGTATTTGTGTCTGATTTTTAGAGCCATGCTTTCTGATATGTTGTCATGCAGTACGCTAGAGTGTCACAGTTTAACTTATCTTTCATCTCCCATTGAGGATTTTTTCCCCAATAACAGTAAGTGATGAAAAACTGCCAATAGGGTGTTGTTTCCGGCATTTGTGGCATTTAAAATCTGTAATTTTCCACTTATTGTGAGAAATATAAAACGACGCTGGTGCTGGATGTGAGGTGAAAGAACATGGATATATTTTTCTCAATGTGTAATTCTCATTATCCTAGTAGAAGCAATATTGTGTTTCTTCAACCTGAATCACTATCTCTCGTGGACAACCAATATTGTGGCTTGTCAGTGAAGTTACACTCATGTCTGCCTTAATAAAAAAACAGTAGATGGACTCTTAAAATGCGTCCAGCCACGATGAAGCTATAGGCTAGTGTGTAACGCTTCATTTTAAAATGGCCTTATTCCAGGGGATTAACCTGTGGATTAAAGGTTTGCCGTGCTGTTACTTAGTGAAAATCCCTCTGATAAGCACTGGAGAATATGCAGTCTTTAATAATCTGGTCCAGGACGTTATTTATTGTGAGAAGTTTGTGACAGTCTTTGAATCAGCTCAACAGCAGTCATCTTGTGTACTTTAAAAATAAACTAATAATCAATTTGAACACTGAAATGATGCCGTTATAAAATCAAGTGTTTCTGACTAGTGCTTTTATGATAAAAGAGGTTAGTCTTGCTTCTGAATAGCAGTTCTTCTATGTAGCATTAATGGATGATTTGTACATGTACAGTAGCTGAACCTGTATTGCATTGAAAACTAGTTTGCAGTTCCACTTGTCAGCTGGTTTTCCCAAAAGCATCTTGGGACTAACTGGTTTTTGTTCCGTTGTAAATGAAAAGAGCAGCATTAAAGGTCCAGACCTTTTCTGCATTTGCATGTTTAAGCTAGTTTACTTCAAACTGCTTGTGCTTTACATCGCTGCTAACCAAATGATGTTCCTGTGTCTCACCTTTTTGAACATATTGTGTTTTAAAATATATTCTAAGTGCCCAAACCTTCCCATTCATTTCCGTCAATGATAAAAATTAATTAGTGGTCCCAACCTAGTTACCGTTTGCCAGTTCTGTTGAGCTAGCTGCTGCTTCAAGAAGCTGACAGCAAGGACCACGTGTGATAGAAGGATATATTCACAATGGTAACTTTTAGGAAGAAGGCAAAATTATGCCTTTAAGCTTCTTTATTGATACAAGAGAAATAAAGAGGAGTCAAACCTGTCTGTCATTAGGCTAGCTCTTTTTGATGTGGCGATACGTTAGCTAGCTAGTTAGCCAGCATTCTGCTAACGTTAGCTAACTTAAGATGTGACAATGAGCAGTGTAGTGATAGCTATGGTGACTTTGACAGTCTCTCAACCTCATCTTTTAACCATCTTCAAAACTTGGTTCTTTTCAACATAGACGAGTCCAGCACGGAGCATATAAGTATGACAAGAAAGGGAAAAGTTGACGTTCTGCAGCGTTTAAGCTTGTTCAATAGTTATTGGAGCACAGAGCAAAAATGGGTGGGACTTAGGAAGGGCTTATTATCGTTGGAAGATTATTCAAAGCAGACACTTAAAATTAGCGTTCACTTGCAACCACATTACCACTTCTTTTTTTTTTCCTTAAGATATTTTTTTGGGGCTTTTTAGCCTTTAATGTATAGGACAGACAAGCGTGAAGGGGGAAGTGAGAGAGGGGGAGTGACATGTAGCAGAGGGCCACAGGCTGGAGTCGAACCCGGGCTGCTGCGGCAACAGCCTTGTACATGGAGCGCCTGCTCTGCCACTAAGCCACCGGTGCCCCCACATTACCACTTCTATTGAAAGTTTTTGTTGAAGGTTTAAGGAGTCTGCTGTTTAATTATCATATTGTTTGGAAATGAATGGAAAGAAATTGACAAACTAGATTAAAAGTCTAAAAGTCTGCGACATGCATTCATAGACTGTCAGCAGTAATTAGAAGCTTACTTGCTTTGTATTTAAAGGGAAAAAACACCAGTATGGTGCTTTAAGTTGTTATTGCTACTACAGTCTGTATCCATTGGTGCTTTTTTTTGTGCTTACAATTAAAGGCCTCTATGGGCTTGTAAACAAAAGTCACATATTTTACAAGTAACCTGTTAATTGGACAGTTTGGGTAACCTGTCGAATACAAGTCGATGTAGGTTTTCTTGGCTTTCCAAGCATGAAGAACTCCCTGGGCTGTGGGGCAGATGGTTTTACCTGTGTGTGACTGTGTCTGAGGGCTGAGAGAAATAATACCACTCATAAACCCTTAGGTTTTGGATGAAGTTCTTGTTGATCGGGATTAAGTTAGAAGCTTGATCTACGAGAACAGAAAAGCTTGTTCAAGTAAACAAAACAGCACTAACATGCTTGGGGGTGATCACCAACACAACCATTATCTAAAGATGCCTTTGGGAAACAGCTCATAGTTTGTGAAAAATCATCTTAATTTCACTAGTTTTAATTAGCGGACAGCAGTGTCGTGCATTAGTGTACTAAACAAGCATGTTTATTGAACTAAGATTGATATATGGCACCCAGCATGCCAGTGCTGTGTCAAAGATTGTTTCCCTGTCAATGTGTGTTTGTGTTTCCCCCAACCTACATATGAACCAAACCTTTTATTTTACATAACCAAGAAGGGGGCGCCACTCATTTTAAGAAGCGGGTAACACTATTTTGATAACACAACACTGGCATGGCTATTGCACCTGGCAATTTGTGCAATACAGCTACCGATGCTGCTGAAGCCGAACAGTTTAAATGAACATATGAACATAAACTAGTTCATTTCAATCTTTGTGAACTCAACTTTGAACTCTTGTGAAGTGTGAACGTGCACAACACTGGCTGACACTAAATGAACAGGTTTAAAGATTCTATCCATCAATTACAATTGTTTTATTTTGTTTTATTTGAATCTCCAATGATATGACTTGCATACACTATGTTACTAGTGCATGGCTATTTATTCAGCAATTAAGTGTGCTGTACTTTCCTGTGGCCTCGAGACCATTTTAGCAAAACTCTTAAAGCAAACAACTTCATTCCACGCTATGTACTGCACGAGAACCTTAAAAGTGCAAAAGCCAAGGATTATCATCTCCAGACTGTGCAGATCATGGTTAAAGCGAGTTGAAAGGTGGTGCAGTGTCGATATGATGTAACACTGCAGCAAGCTGGTGTCATGTTGGAATTGACTCCATTTTTCATCACAAAATTGAAACTTGCTGCAAGGAATGCTCCTTTTAACGGCTTGTTTAATGTAGAATCGGATCTTATTTTTTCTGCCTTTCTAAAGACACTGTCACGTATGTGTTAAAAATATGGAAACCCATGAAACTGCATTGAGGGAATTGAAATGATCTGATTCTATCTGTCATTTTTAATGGGAGTAAAAACTAAACATGGGTTTTTGTTTTTGCAGTGAGGATGCTCAGTAGGTCACATTCCCCAATGCTCTACTGTCTTTCACACAATTCATCAAGTATCAATAGATGGCTGGTCTGTTGCATTAACACACTGTACATAAACAAAAAAAAGAAAAAAACAACAGAAGATATTTTTGTTCTATTGGTGTAAACAACTTGTGAATAAAGTCTCATTGTCGATGCAGTATTGTAATGCAATCCTGACTTGTTAGTTTTGTCTCCTTTTCCTGTCTTACCACTGTTGTTCATAAAAGTTGTGCTTGGGACGTAATTGTACACAATCATTTGTATCCATCTGGGTGGGCGGTGAAACACCTGTTTTATAGAGCACTGAACACCCGGCTGCATTTTAAATCAGACACTGTGTCGTTAGGTTAGGCGTGACAAAAAGTGCCTTCCTGCAGTAGATGGTGTTTGCAGCTCGACATTCACCGGATCCTAATTTTATATTCGACACTAATCCAGTGAAAGTTTTCTGAAAACACCTACTCTTCTCTTTCAGCATCACTCTGCCTCTCATTCACAATTTCTTACTTAAAAGCTGTTTATGTGGAGGTGCCACATGAGACATGACGGCATAATAGTAGGCTACACAAAAAATATGGTTTGAAACACGGTTTGTGGAGTCACAATTTAAAGGAGCAGTGTTTGAGATTTTTGGGGATTTAGTGGCATCTAGTGGTGAGGATTGAAGATTGCAACCAGCTGAAACTTCTACCTGTTAGATTTCCTTCAGTGTTCATTGTTCAGGAGGTTTTTAGCAGAAGCCATATTAGTGTTGGAGTGTTTTTCTCTAATGTTTGGCTTGTTGGACACCTCCGTTAGCCCAGCACCTGCTAATGTGTGCTAACCTTTTTTCTGATCCATAGTAGGTTTTTATCGTGAGCTGAGTTATCCGCAGAGGTGTCCTCTCCAAAACAAACAGACCCAGTGATTTAGACCGTTAAAAACACAGAATAAAGCAGTATCATATTACAAATCTGTGTTTCTCAAATGCTGTTTGGCTCGTCGGAGACAGGCTACTAGCCCAGTATCTGCTAATGTGTGCTCACCTTTTTTCTCTTACAACTTAACAAAATCCAGATATTTACAGGGTTTCATCAGCAGAGGTCTCTTCGTCCCCAAAACAAACGGACCCTGTAATTTAAACCGGTAAAAACACTGAATAAAGCAGTTTAATTAAAAAAAGTAAGTGTTTTCTTCCTCCTTGTTGCAGAGGGGCCGCTAGTTACGGTGGCTGATGCAAAAACAGAGTGTTTGGTTTGTAAAAACATGATGGTGCAACATGGCGGACACCATGGACAAGATCCCACTATGACGATATATATGGCTCATTCTAAAGTAACAAAAACACAACAATTCTTATTTTCAAGTAATTATAAACTGAAGAAAACATTCTTCTTATATTCCATTTCTGCTGATATACCCCCCTTTAATTCTAAACACTGAACCTTTAAGGAGCACGCAGCAGCCATAATTTCAGCTTACTAACAAAACTGTGCACTCTTTATTTCAAATTTAAGCTACTGGGAGGGAAAAAATCTGTAATTATCTTTTCAAATTCGACATTCCCAAAATGCAATGTCAGTATAAACCATAGACCTTTTTCAAAGCAGACATTTTGAGTAGTCATATTAGGAGAAGCACAGGTGAAACTGATGACATTAATGATGGCTCAGTTCCAGTTACTGTCCCAGTAAGCTATTCAGCTAGCCAGTAAGCTAGCTAGCATGCACAATATCAAGTAGGGGAGAGCCGCCTTGAATGTAACGCGTCAAGGTTGTAACATCCACATTTTCTCTTGATTGGTCAATGCGGTCATGACGTCATCACATCAGCATGTGACGAGTACCGTAATACACGTGCCCAGGAAATTTCAAGTCTTCTCATCCATGCTGCAGGGAGATATCCACTGAGAAGCTGGTTTTCCACAAAGTAAGTAAAAATTCACTCCCACAGTATTTTTTGACTACAGATTTTTTATTTAATGTTACAGAGCTAAAATCCGCTTGGGTGTCTGTATGTATATGTTTGTCACTAGTTTGCATCGTTTTAACACGTTATGATTGTTAGGTCCGTTCTGTAAACAACGCCAAAGCGGCCCAGTTGTAACACATGTTACATTTGAGACGACGGCAGAAATTTGCAAGCGCAGCTCGAATAATTCTGCTCTTTGTTTGCTTTTTTGTTTGTTTTACAGAATGTCCCCATAAAGGACCAAAAAAGGGGCTTGATATCAGCTGATGTGCTAAAGGCAGCCTCAGATGAGGTGTTAAAAGGGGGGCTGTCTGTGCAAAGAGTAGGGATGCACCGAAATGAAAATTTGTGGCCGAAGCCAAAGCCGAATAATATTAAATGCTTGGCCGAATACTGAATATTGTTTAGTTTTTAATTATTTTTTGCAGATGAACCCCCTCCAGATTAGTGTTGTCACAGTACCAAAATTGGATCCCACTGTACGATACCAACGAAAATATCATGGTTCTGAGTAGCATCACGATACCACAACGAAAATGAGGCAGATGTGCCTTTTGTCATTTATAAAAAGATAAATCACTTTTCTATTATAGGCTACATCAATGATATTTCAATGGAATACATTACTTATTGACTTATTCATAGGACCTCAAAAACAGCATGAATAAGTGATTAACATAGGGGGGATTGAAATAAAATAAATAAATAAAATAAGAATCAACCAGCCACCCTCCTCCCCTGATAAGTCCCTTCATAAGTAAAGAACAGTCCCTAAAGTGCGGTGAGGTTTGTGGGCCGTGAACGGCTCGTTTCTCCTCTGACACATCACATACCTGTGTTCGGCTGGCTCAGCTGTAAAGGTACTTTTGGGCAGTCATGACGCCAAGAAGAGGATATTATTGGAGCCGACTTCTCCGTTGCCGGTAAGCCGATGGCCGGCGTATTTGACAGGAATAGGCTACATTACTGTCTGTGTCTATGACCCCCGTTCAACCCACAGTTGGTGGGATTCGCCTTTCGTTTTTGCTGCTGGTTGAAATCTGTAGGCTGCTGGCACAGCGTGCTGAATGATTTAAGCCTATTTTGCTCGCTCAAACTATTTTTAGTCGCAAATGCAAGTGCAGTGAGGGACGGATAGCCACACTGCCGACATTTTACTCCGCGTGTCACGGCACACTGTTTGATTGCATTATCAAAACATGCCACTATTATTCGGCCTTGCTTTTAACTTATTCCACCGAATACCGAATGTGTGATTTTTTTTGCAATATTTGGCTGAATATATTCGGTTACCGAATATGCGGTGCATCCCTAGCAAAGAGTGGCCAAAGACTATAAAATGTGTATGGGGGAAATGTTCTGTTGTGTTGGTTTTGTTGTGTAAGTTGTAGGCTGATTTTTACTTCTGTGCCTCATAGCCTAGCAAATGTTTTAATGTGAACACATTTTTTTTAATCTTTAATCTTTTTAATCTTTAATCTGACTCTTTCCCCTTGACTGCTGTAACACTGGAATTTCTTAATTGTGGGATCAATAAAGGTGTATCTTATCTTATCTTTTAATATTTCTGGATGCTGTGTTTGTGCACTTTGTTCTGTGTGGCATGTTCTTTACACCACCGAGGTCAGTTTTACCTTTAAATTGGTAGCCTATTGTTGCAGTTTTACCTTTTAAAAAGTGCACTAGATACTGAACTGCACATATTTTGATGTTCTTTGCACTGAGATGTAGGCCTAGTCCTACCTTGAAATGTAATAGGCTAACCTATTTGGTTCTGTCTGTAGGCAAATGTTATTGTAGCCTATTTTGGGTGCACCTTGAATGCACTTCTTTATGCAACTGACATTTTAAGTCAAGAGTTTTTGCAGTAAAAAAAAAATACAAATAGACTGTTTTTCTATAGCATAGACTGTAAAAAATAAGTGATTTGGGGTGTTGCTACATAATTTGACCCTGCAGGGGTCAGTGCAGGTATGAATGGGACTTGTCCAAAACTCATGCTCCATATTTGCCAATATTCTGTGTTCAGTCAGCTGTCATTCAATGATATTCTAAATCAAATTAAGGTTCATTCATTGATTCATTCATCTTCTAACCGCTTCATCCTCTTGAGGGTTGCGGGGGGGCTGGAGCCTATCCCAGCTGACATCGGGCGAGAGGCAGGGTACACCCTGGACAGGCCGCCAGACTATTGCAGGGCTGACACATAGAGACAGACAACCATTCACGCTCACATTCACACCTACGGACAATTTAGAGTTATCCCCAATCTGCATGTCTTTGGCCTGTGGGAGGAAGCTGGAGTGCCCGGAGAGAACCCACGCTGACACGGGGAGAACATGCAAACTCCGCACAGAAGGGCTCCCACACCAGGGATCGAACCGGCAACCCTCTTGCTGTGAGGCGACAGTGCTAACCACCACACCACCGTGCCGCCCCAAATTAAGGTTGTATAACATTTTTACAACTCCATCAGTCAAAGTCGCTAACTTTGTAGGCATAATCAATGCATTTTCCTATCAAGGAATTCACACAAACGCTCCAACTGGTACATCCGGTAAGTTTTAGTAATATACAATATTTTTGATACATTCTTTTCACATTCTTGGTATGAAAGAAACGTTAAACAGTTGCCTGAATGAAATATAATTGATTCGACCTGAAAACGATGAGTTTAATGCTACTTTTTAGCAGTGTTACAATTGTAACTCCTGCTGTTACAATTAAGACTCAAATGCACTTCAGTTGTAACATCGGACAGTCTGCTTTCAGTTTTATTACTCAAGACCTGTTTTATCAATTGAAAAACTTTAAGTGGTTTATGATAGCAGACATGTGTTGGTGCTTTGCCTGAAAATATTACATATCGAGGGCTGAGAATCAAGAGGGCGTAAGTGACATTTTGGTCAAAATTGAGTTATATATATCACTTGAAAGCTCTTGATGAGCTCTTTCTACTGACAAAATTATTGAAGTAAAATATTAATAAATTTAGAGTTGTTAAGCAAAAACCAAAGGTCTTAACTGTGAACATACAGAAGCAGTTAGAGCCAAAGGGCGTAAGTGCATTTACGCCCTTCTGGCATTGAGAAATATATTATGGGCAAAGTCTGAAGACAGCACATAAGTCAAAATGGCTGATGGTAAATGTAAGACTAGAAAAGGCTGCCACAGAAAAGTGGTGTTTAACACTGAAGAGGTATTGTCACAGTTATTTAAAA